TTTTCTTTTAAAAACACTCGTCTGTTAACAAATTGTTTTTCCTGATAAGGCTCAAATAAATGTTCTCTGAGGTTGGTATCAAGGTTAGGTGACACGAAGCCAGCCGGGATTGTGCGGTGTCCGTCGGGGCCTGTGTTGGCTTAAAACAAACTTTGAAAGTTTTATTACAATGTTTTAAAAAAGAAAACATCTCTTTTACCACTACCTATATATTCTCACTTTTCAGTATTAAAGAGCAGTCCCTTGAAACATAATCCTGAAAACATTTTTCAGTGTATTGCTCTTACCATCTTTCTTTTTTTTTTTTAAAAAAACTTTTTGCCTGCATGTGTCCAAGGGAGAAGGGAAAGCACAATTTTATTTTATTTTATTTTTTTCCTTCAGACAGGCAATCTGGACAGATCGATGAGACCAAGAAATGCTGAATTAAACACAGCGGTGTTGCTGGCTTGGGTAGACACAACCTCTTCTGCTGAAGACACCCTGGCATCCCTTGTAAGTGTTGTCCCAAACCTGTTAGCCCAACAGACTCCTGACAGAGTTGGTGGAGAAGCCACAGAGTAAGATTAGCACTGAAGAAACCTGCAGTGATATCCTGCATTGGGTAACTTCAAAAATACATTTGAGAGTATTGGTGGCCCTGGCTCGTTCTCCCACGCGTGTATTATGTTTGTCTTGGGCATGAACGTGGATTTGGGCAAACCATATTCATAGCCCTGCTGTTTTTTTCATGATTTCTCAAGAACACTTAATATAGAAAGCCAGAAATATTTCCAGAACTTTTTTTTTCTTACGTATTCTAAGAATAAAATTCTTCTCTTTCAGCATTTCTAACACGGAGGTAAAATGTGACCAAAAGTAGTGCAATGCTTAATTTATATTAAAGAAAGGAAGAGAAACTTCAGATCATAAAATTCAGCTCCCAGAACATAGTTCCCATACTTAGTAAAATGTAATTGCCATTGATTAGGAAAGAATGACACCTACACCCTTGACGAGGCTGGGGAGAGATGCCCAGTGATGAGAGTATTCAAACTGGGTTTAGGAGAAAGTTCAGGGCCAGCTTCTGCCCTGGCTTCGTGCGAATTTCGGCAGCTCACTACCTCACCATTGCACAGCACGTTTTCTGTCGGAGCTGGTCCTCACCTCACCTCTCTATGTGCCCCAGTGTGCTACATCACTCTAAAGGCACATAACCCCTCAGAGACGTATCTAAAACACCTCCTGTCTGCCAAACCTCCTGCCTCAGCCTTCCTCTCCTGGGTGCAAGCACCTCTTCCTCCTTGTAGCTCCACACACACAGCTATCTGCCTTTGGTGAAGCTTCGACCATTTCAAACACCATGCAAGCTCATGCTTTTCCAAACTATTCATTCACCTCACCTGAATAAACAGTCACGACTAAGGCAGACAGTTTATTCTCCACCTGACAAGCTGGAGAGATGGTTAAAATTCTTTTCTCTTGCAGAATGGATCTGCTGGAGAACGCTCGCAGGGGGCTGAACTGCCCGAATGGGCTCCCTGGGGCAAGGGGAGATGTCTCTGCAAAATGCTATGGTTTTTGCATGGCAGCTTTGGAACTGAAAATAGACTTTCCAGCTCCAGAGCTTAATCACAGTGTCCCACGCTGAACTTGCTTAGGTCCATGGGTTTGCCGGGTTTTTGTTCGTGTTTCCAAGAAAAAGATTCTGGGAATATAGTACGGCAAATAGCATGTTAACATATTTCTCCTCCCACAGAAACACAGTTCACATTTGCATCTGTTTGCACAGTGATAGTTGAGTGTAAACCAGAATCCACCTCCGCTTCCACAGCGGAGGAGATGAATACAATGCACGTCTGGAAAAGCACTCTGTAAGGTTTCCTGAGAGGTAGCAAATCAGTGGGAAAGGTAGGTGGAAAGAGGGGATTATCAGCCAGCAAATCTGCAGATTTCCTCAGGATGGCTGGTATAAATAAAGAGTGTGAACTAGGATTTAAATAGGTGATTCTCTATATTCCAAACATCAGATGAAAAATGTGTGGCCTGATTGTCAAGCTGTGATAGAGGCATTGCAAACAATTTAATTATTTAACAAAGGAGGGAGAAAAATGAATTATTAGACTGAAGCACTAATGGAAATTTTAAGTATTAATAAATAAATACTGAATATCAAAGTTGGTAGTGTTTGATAAGTAAAAAATCCTACGATCAGAGTAATACAAAGCAAACTAATTTTTTTTTATTTACTCCTAAAGTTACAATTAAAAGTCTTTCAAGATTGCATGAACAAATTCTGATATTTTGTTTCTGGTTTACGTTACAGACTTGAAAGAAACTGCAGCTGTGACAAATTTAAAATAGATATACTGAGTAGGAATGAAGGTAGGTGCACACTGCCAAGTGAAACGCTACATTGTTTAATTAAACAAACACCTCGTTTCAGGATCTGTGAGTTCTTGTTAATAATTCTCTGCAGCCTGCCGCTGCCCTCCGGTTTCCCAGCCCGCGGTCTCTGTCCCGCTGCGCTGACGTCCGCTGCTCTGCGAGTCAAGCAATGGTTTGCACAAGTGAGAATTTTCCAGGGTTTATTTTGCATCCAGTTTCTTTTAAATGCTCAGCCTGCATGTGAATACAATGGGAAGGTCACAAAATATTAGGCTCTTCATTCACACCACCATTGGTGTTTAAATCCGACATTGTCTCTCCGAAACTCCCAGGCAACTATATCGGAAAATGCCCCACATTCAGAAGTACATTCAGGGGCAAAGCTCCCTTGATTCCACAAACACAAGCAAGAACGGTGGCTTTCAGGGGAAGCTGTTACAATATGAATGGAATAATGAAATATTCCTTGAGCCAAAGGAAGAGAGAGAATGACTTGGCACCCCACCAAGATGATGCAGCATTGCCAATGCGGTTTCTTCAGACTACTGTAATGACATTGTCTGGCTGCCTCTCAGACCCCCTTTTAAAAATTTGTTTAACCCTTCGACCAATTTCAACCAAACTCTGTGGGAAAGCAGAACTCTTCAAGAAATGAAAGTTGCTACAAGTTTAGTGTGGACAAGGCCCAGGAAGACTGAGACATTTGCTCTTTGCAAGGGAAACGATGCTGGATGAGCGTGGCAGTCGGGCGGTCAGCACGTGCCAACCGGGCAGCTGGGCAGGACAGACGCAGCGTAGGGACAAAGCAGATGCTGCTGCTTGCTCGACCTCTGCTCTGGGGATGTGGGGAGAGATGAGGGTGGTGTGTAGGGGAGCAGAAAGCATTGCAATTTGTCTGTCCTAGGGAGCACATATAGAGAACTCCAGTTCTCTACAGATAGAACTCCACATATAGAGAACTTCAGTTCCTGTGGTCAGGGTGAGCATGAGAAAGGACAACACTCACTAGGAAACCCAGATTCCTTCATTGTGCTGCTCAGCGGATGACTTGCTTAATGCAATAGTTGGATTTTCAGTGCGCAGGTAATGAGCTAGATGTTTTATGGCCATAGTCATTGACTTTACTGGAAGATCTTGCGCACACCCTCAGTAGATTGGAGAGCAGACTCTGAGTTTTGGGCAACCCCTCACCATAGTTGACCTGTCTGGGCTTACAAGTGATGATAAATTGGAAAAGATGGTAAAAGATATTTTGAGACAATTTACCAAACTGAGGACTACAGTGCTTTGAGAAAGGACACTAGTGCACGGTGCAAACTTTGGCTCTTTTTTGAGACCATATTCATTATTGCGCTACAAGTGAACTTGGCAAGCAAGAGCACCTGCCTTTGCAGCTGGGAGCACACACCCAGGTTAAGCACGCAGCCCCTTTACAATAGTTTTGCCACAGAAACAAAACCTGGAAAGACAAAGACCGCTCTGCTGCCAGGGAAGGGGACTGCTGGGGACTGCTGAGGAACTCTCTACAGGGAACCCAGAACAGCTGGAATCTACATCCCACCAACAAGGTACCACGAGGATCCAAATGCAATGTCACCTTGCAACCTATATCATTGGGACAAAACGCAGACTGGCTGTTTCTCTGGATGTTGGATGAGAGGGTGAAGTCCCGGGAACATTTAGAGTCCTCTTTGGAAGGGATGGCAAGACAAGATCCCTGTTTGCCCTTTCTCTGGTGCCTACCCCAGACTCAAGGTCGTCTTCAGCTCCGGCAGCTGTGCTTGCCCGGGCTGGGTGGGAGGCGTGGGTAGCTGGCTCTCCTGCAGCAGGCTCTGCCAGCCTCCTGATTTCTGGCTCTCGGGGACGTGTGCTTGCTACGGGAGGCATGTGTACAGCTGTCAGGAGCAGAAGCAGTGCAGGCAGCCTGCATCACGTTCCTCCAACCCTGTTTCTCAGCAGGGCTCTTATTCCAGGGCTGTATTTCCCCTTGATTGATTACCTCTGCCATTGTGGGGCTGACATCTTACACAGGAGTCCTGCTTGGTCCCTTATCATGGGAGCATGAGGAATCATCATTCCCCAGCGACACCCATCGATAACAGTGAATAATAGCTGGGAAGGGAGGCAGATGATAGTAGGAACATGCTCAACAGAGGTGCTGTTATTCCTGGGACAGGAGGCTTCTGCAGAGGAGGAGGAGAGCTTTGAGGGTGGATGGGGGGGTCTTGTCATTGCTGATGCTCTCTAGGGCTCTGCGGCTGGAGAGAAACATTGACTGAGGATGGTCAAAGCTAGGAACGAAAAAAGAGAGGAGGGAAAGACATGAAGTGAAAAGGAGCTAAGAGCCACACTGGAGAGCATACAGACAGCCCGGTGACCTCTGGTGCATGAGGGATGAAGGAAACAGACTGTGATTGACTATGTGGACCATCTGGGTGATCATCTTCTGGATTTCAACTGTCCTGGTAGGTGCTCAGAGCTATTTATTCCCAATTGCATGGAATTACATGTTGTCTGAGTAAGTGCACTTCTATTCCATGAAGTTGTGCTCAGCTTATTCACATTTTGAAAGCATATAAACTGAAGACTGAAATATGTCCAGCCCGGGTGTGAGAAGCTGGGAAAGGATCAAACTTTCGGCAAATATAAAAAAATCACTGTTTCATTGCAACTAACGGAAAATTCAGTCTATTTGTCCTAGCAGGAGATTTGGTTCAAATTTTCAGAAAACCTGAGCTCTTCCTAGACATTTTAATTGGAGAGTGAATGCAATCTGCAAACTGTTTTTGCCTTTTGATTGTCTTTCACAATAAAAATAGTGACTGTGATGGTTTTCTTGTCATTTTGGTTTCTTATTCTTAGCTACTACCTAAAGGACTCTGTAAATAGATGTCGTTACTCAGGGTGCCACTAAAAGCATCTCCTTCCACTTGTTCTTTTTCTAACCCTTCAAAATACCTATTTTGATTTTGCCAGGCAACTTTTGTTCTCCTTTAAATCCTCTCATGAAACTAAACCCACTTACTTTCAAATTAAATGGCTGTGAATTCTGTGGCTGCAAATTTTATTTATATTAAATAGCATTTAGATCCATTCATTTCATGTGTTATAAAAGCTGTAGTTGACTTGCTATTAATATCACGAACTGCAGCTTTCTACCCATTCTGGGCATCTAGTTATCACAGCTGTTTCTGTTTGGAATGGTTTTGGTATCTTACATTGCCTTTAAACAAAATACAAGGATGTCTTGCCCCCTCATCAAAATCTGACAGCCTGTGAGCAGGGAGCTGTTTCAGTGAACTGTTTAGGAAGAAATGAAGAAACTGTACATAGAGGAGCCCATTTTCCTCCTCAATTTCAAGGCGCGGGGACAGGCTGTTTGCTCCCAGTTGTGGACGGTAAACACGAGCGAAACTGAGCACAGTTGGTAGCAGAGCGGGGTTATCTGGCCATGGCACGGGAAGCGGGATTTCGCATCGCTCAGCAAACAGCCGCACCAGACCTGCGACAGCCCCGCTCGCACCCAGCCTGCCCCGTCGGATGCCAGCATTGGCAAAGACTGACCAAGGGAGAGCGTTTGTGGAAAACATGTCTTTAAACCCAGAGGTTTTCTGCTTTCTCTAGGTTTAAAGTCCTGTTACCTGTACGTCTATCACCAGGCAGTAGTATCTATCTGGTTGGAAGAATAGGGTGGGCTCCACTTGGTGGGGTAAAGCAGTAATTGTAAGGCATTGACTACACCATATTCCTGCTTGAGCAACACATTTTATGTAAGAAAATAATGCTGTATCAGATCATCAGGGTGGTCTTCACAGCTGAATATGCTAAAACAGTGCACTCTCATTCTAGCCAGGAAGAAATAATGCAGACTTTAAACCTCTTTCTAAAACAAAAGCTTTCTTAGGACCTACATTTCTTAAAAGAAAACAGTGCCCACAAGATGTATAGCCTTTTTTAAGGCGAATGATTTTCCTGTATCTGAGATATTTACTAACATTTTGAACTTTAAAGTAAAGATGTTTACTAACATCTTTACTATCATCTTGAACAACCCACATGCAGACCAGACCGGTTCTGTTGGCCACCTCAAATGCTCAGCACTAATACTGTTTTTTAATGTATTTTCAAGGCAACTTTTGGACAGAGATACTATAGCAGAAGTATGCTATAGGTCTTAACTGTCACATTGATAGTTATACACTCTGGAAATGTACTGAATTGCTTTACTATTAGTAATCAAACAGGTAACAATAGAGAATGATAAATAATGCACATTTAAAAAACCTGTCGATATTTAGAAATTATGAAATTCAACCTTCAGCTAACAACTGAAACTACTAAATGCAATTACATTTCTTTAGACATGTTACTCCAATCAGACATTTCTATTTTTTTCAAAGATTAACTGGATTTTAAAAATCTGGGTTTTTTTCAAATATTAATGGATTAAAACTACGTTTAAAGCCTGGTATCAGAGGATAGTTTATTTCATCTGAATTCTTTACGTGTGTGATTGCAGAAAATTCCTTACATCATGCAAAACCAAATGGTTTTTAGTTTATTTATTTCACGATGCACAAAGACAAGGGAAAAAGATGCTGAAGATAAACACAACAGACCAATTAGATGAGGCACGATACACTGCTGAAAAGGTCAAACTTTGTTCAGAAATACAATACCCAGAATACTTCCAGCCAAAATGAGTGGGAATATAGTCGCTGATGTCTGTTAGGCTAAAATTTAATTGTAGAAAAGTAATAGTTCTCACTACAAGGTTTTCAGTGATCATTCTCTCTCCTAAATCTAATCTGAAAGTGATCGGCAATGCTACAAGATTGATTAGGTTGGGTAGTAACATGATGCTGCTGGGTTAACTTTTCCTACACAAAGTACATAAAAAAATCTATCTGATACTTTTCCAATAATACATCCTGATGGCTTGCTTTTAATCTTTTAAGTATGTGTCTGTGTATATACCTATGCGTACATATATATGTACATATAAGTTCCATAGTGGGAATTTCTAAAGATTTTAGGTTTTATTCATGAGGGAGGAATTACTTATTTTTTTATAGTGGGAATCAGCTTATATTCAGTACTTTTATTGTCAAAAATAATAGAAACTAGCAAAAATGGTAAAAGTACTTTTTTACTGCAAGACATAACAACTGGAACCTTGTCCTGCAAATCATTTTGCAATGATTTTTAATACATGTTATTTTAATGGTCGGTAGCTGTTTTGTGCATTCATTTTGCTCCAGCTACACACAACATAAATTGCACATTTAATTGCTATATCAGGATTAAGACTAATATTTCCACATGCCTTGTAAGAAAGGAGGATGGGGCAAGATAGGAAGGTGAGAAAATGACCTTAGGATAAATTACTGTTTAGGTTCTCACAAAAATCTGGGTGAGATTCTGCTTCCAGGTTGGCTCCTGAAGCTTCTTGATCAGTAGCAGTGAAACAGGTTTGGGTGATCTGCAACCAGTGGACACATTTGGATTGCTTGTGCCCGGGGAAAATGACCTGCGAGGTCTATGGTTTAACACTGCCAGGGATGAGTAAGTAATTCACTGTTGCTCTAGGAGAGTCCAGCAGTGCCCTGGATGTTTCTGCAGTCTTTTGGAAGAGCATTCCCTTATGTACTTAATTTAGCAAAATAACACATTATTCTCAATAACATTAATGTCAGCAAAAGGGAGAAGGCAGAAACTCAGTCTGTGCTTGCCTGATGCTACCATAAAACAGCAGACTTAATTAGGAAAATTGACCGTATTTGAAGGAAATTCACTGTATTTCAAGGAAATATTGCCCACAATCAGTTGATAAGGTTGCATGAGGAATGTGAGCGTAAGAAGGGTAAATCCTGTTGAGGGGATGTAAGTTTTAAGAGGAAAAGTGACTTCACTTGCTTTTAAAATTTGCAGATCAGAGCTGTCCCACCTGTCTGTGACCTCCTGAGTGTTCTGAAAAAGGAGGAAGAAAACTGTGCTGAGACTCTCTCCCTGGAGGCAAAGAACAGAACGATGGAAAACGATCTGCTTCTGAGCTCAGGTAAAGACTGAACAAATGTACATGATAAAGACTGCTCTCAGATGAGCTGAGTGGCCTCAAAATCAGATAACCCCGCATTCCTTCCCATAAGAGACATGCACCTTGTATGCATCTCTCCTTTAGGAGCAGAAAAACAGGTAAGATCTGTTATAAGGCTCCGAGGGTGGGATTTTGACCTTACTGTGACAGCAAGAGTTGTAAGAGCCTTCTATCTTTGCTGCTCAACTGCAGTCCTTACAACTAGGGAGCACATCAGCAACAAAAACTTGCAAATTGCAGAGAATTTGGAATTATTCTCATCTTGGACAAGGATATTTTTATGAAGTCAGCCCAGTAAGTGTAGATTTACTATATTTGTAAACTGTGTTTGCAAACTCTATTTGCCTTCAAAATCATGAGTAACAGCAACCAACATTTAAATCACGTGGCCTGAAGGTCCTATTTGCTTGCTCTTTGCTATAACTCACTGTCATGTAACAGAGCTCTTGCATTTCGGAGAGGATTTATCATCATATAAAGGTGTTTTTTGGCCTGGGAAAGTCTTGTGGTACTGAGTCCTCATCATGTAGACAGCTTTCCTTTCACAGCTGAGCAAATGCATTCATGTGCAAGGGATCTCAGAAAGACAACTGCAAGCAATTATTGAAGCTTGCCTATGAAACTGAGTGTTTGCTCCCCCTGGCAGCAGCTGGGTCAGTACCTGACAGAGTACATTGGATGGAGACAACAGATGTGACTATTTTTTGTGCATGACCAGGCATCGCCGCTAAGGCTGGGTTTGTGTCATTCACAGCATCCCACAGACTCAACTGTTCCTGGGTGACTTTTGTGGATTGTGACATGGCAAGGTCCCCATCAGTGGAAAGTGAAGGAGCTCCCATGAGATGTACTGTGTGCAGGGTGTCCTGGCCAGAGATAAGCTACCATGTGGAGCAAGACTTGAGGCTTTTTCTTAGTTTCAAAGCCTTCCTCTCTAGCAGAGAGTGTTGGAGACACAGAACTCTTTCACTCTGACCTGGTCCAAAGGCAAGGCTCAGAGGGAAGATTTGTTGCCCAGTTTCTGAGGACACCTAGCATTTTTCTCTGTTTTATCCCTGTGAGCCTTGCAGACTGATTGGTGTGAGCACAGCTTCAGGGCATTACACCCATGTAGCAGTGACAGGGTACCTTATGGCAGGTTGCCAGATACTCCAGAATACAGATCTGTCTCATTGCATATATTGATGATATGAATAAATCAGTATTGTTTGTTTCTTTCCTCAGTGCACCTCACCAAAGAGGAGGGTGGTTTGACAACCTATCTATTTTTCTGCTTTGATCCTGTGACATGGCTTTAACGTTGAGTTCTGCATTTCCTTTGCACCAGAGGTCCAAAGATGCAAACATGTTAAACTTCACAGGACCGTGCAGGTGTGGACCAGTATTAGCATTAGCAGGCAGTACTGTTCTACAGATGGTCTTGTTTTATCTCAGTCAAATAGTAGCTCCTCTGCAGAGACTTAATCCAGTTTTAAGTTGGAGCCAAATCTTAATAATTGCCCCAAGGCCTTTTGTTACTGGAAATTTTTAAACAGAATAATTCTACTCTCTGTGCCCTTCTCCCTAAAGCTACACAGAGAGAAGTTAGAAGTATAGGATTATGTTAAATCTTTGAAAAAGCATTTCCAATGGCTGTCAAAATTGCCCTTTTAACACTACACGTCAGATCAAACAAAGCATACCGCTGTGGGCTCAGGGCTACCCACATAGCAGAAAGCCTTAAACTGAAAGTGGCCAGAGTGACTAAGCCCATCTCTGTCTCTGTAACTCTGCAAACACACCTTCTCCTGGCAGTGAAACCCCAGAAGAATAAACAGGGGTAAGATGCACATCTTGCCCCAAGTAATGGTTCCCAAGGAGAGAACCCAGGAATTTCCTTCTGCTGGTCTTTACTCAGGGAGGGTTTTTTACCTTGGTAAATTATGGAGTAATGCTTTTATTCTGGGAAATAATGCATCTGAAAATACCTCCAGCCTTTGATTATCTGCATATCTGAGGTCTGTGCGCAGAAAATCCCATACAGGGCGAGAGAAACAAAGCTCTGGGGATTTATTGCATGCCTTTGGTGGGTCACACAGGGAAGGAGAAAGGCGACTTGGCAGGGTGTAGGTCACCTTCCGTACTCCATCCTTCCTGCACCTACCCCAGAAGCTTTGACTGGTGCAGGCAGGAAGAAGGGCAAAGCAGGGGACAAGCTTCCATGGTGCCATCTCTGCCGTGGTGCTCACATCTCTCTGAAAATGGCACAAACACACAGGATTAGTTGTGGGTGAACCAGGCACAAGGTACCTGAGCAGTAAGTGTTGCTTATCCTCCTGCAGTATAAGGAAAAAGGGACTCTGCCCTTGTGGTACCATTAGCTTGGAGAAGGGAGAAGTGTTACATTAATGTAACCCAAGTAATGGCTATGCTCTCTTTTGTGCACGAGCAAAGACGGGCTAATTCTCTCAGGTGCAGGGAGCAGGGGAGGGAAGCTGCTGGAGGTCTGGGACCTCTGGTTGTGGTTACACCGTATTTTGCTGCTGGGGGAACACTCTATTTGCTACTTGAGGGAAGTCCCGAAGAGCACAGGGATGTCAGGGATGTGCTGCCGTGCTCTGCCTCCACCCAGGAGGCTGCTCGGCTAGGTAGGGGTGGGTGGCACTGGCTTTGCTCCATGGGGGATGGCAAGAAGCCCACCCGCAGGAGGAATGGCTCAGCTGATTTTTGTTTTCTCCTCCTGGGCAGAGACCATCCCAACATTGTAATTTTGCCAGGTTTTTCTGTGCACCGAGTCTGATTTGGGGGCTTTATGCCAGTGGCATTGCCATGAAGGTTCGATAACCCAAACAATGCAGCATGGCTAGGAATAAATATCACCCAAGGTGATGTTTCATTTGCCATTAAACTGTTGCTTTGAAGTAAATGGTTACCAAGCCCTATAAACATTGGCACAGGGAGGACACCAGAGCCGAGGTGCCCTGGCTGTGAAAAGCTCTCCATTTCCAGGCACTAGGACTGTTGAGCAGGAGGAAATCAATACATTTCTAGAAATGTAAATATTTTTGTCAGGCTGATGGAGGCTAGCCTTACAAAGCATGAAGTGTTTGAAGAGAGCGCTCAGAGCTTCCTCCCCACCAATTTCAGTGGGCGTGCGGGGCATTTGGCACGTGCCAGGACGCGCCAGGCACAGGGTGGTCCCGGCAGGCTCCAGAGGCCTCTTTTTTCCCTGTCATGTTACAACACCCACAGAGAAGGCTTTGCTAAAACCAATGATGGTCAGCAGAGGCAAAAGGGAACCAGCCTGAAAGATTTCAGGTGTGCCTGGAGAAGAGCAAAATAAGAAATGCCAGGATTGCAGTTTCTCTGTAGCACAAAGGGTATCAACTGTAGGTCTTCTCTATTAACACTCTGTACTGCAGGCCAAAATTCAGCCCTGCCAGCTTCTAGCACCTAAGCAAGATGTCTAAGTTGAGATTACCTTCCTGCTGTGCTCCACTGACCGTCGGCTCCCTGGTACACCTCTACCAGCCCTGACAGAAGGCAGCACAGCCAAGCCAAAGGCGCAGCTGGAAAAGCCTCCCTCACACCCTGGCTGTAGGAGGGGACCACAACAAGCCTAGACTTAAAACAAGCAGCCCTTGTGCCTAACTGAGGGAAATGGGGTCAGTTTGGGCAGTGTCAGTCAGTTCCTGCAGCTGATAAAGGCCTCAGGTGGCAGACGGTCCAGGGAGGGCAACTGAACCACGGGCTTGTGCCTGCAGAGAGCCCAGCGAGACGCCAGGTTTAATGGTCGCTCTGAGATGGGTCCTCCAACAGGCATGTCACATCGTCAGAGGCCTGGCTTTGCGAAGAACAACAGTATGGGCAGATTTTTCCAGAATATTGGTGTGTATCCATGTTTTGCCTTGACCTGTAAATATGATGACCTTCCCTTTACAGTCCTGGGAACTGATAGAGCTTGGCAAAGTTTTGCTCTCCTGCAGCAGAAAAGTCATTGAGACTGGCAGCCAAGCCCAGCAAGTGATCTGTTGACGTTATTCACTCCAGCACAATCTTGACTTAACAAAAGAGATGAAGAAGCAAAGGAATATTTATGGTGATAAAAGGATGACATCATTACTGTTCCTCTCTCCCCTTTTCCCCAGTATCATTGTGAAGCTGTTTAAACTCCTAGTCAAGTTGTATCTTTTTCTGTTTACAGAAGGATTACGTAGGAAAACATTAGGGTGTCTCAAAGTGGAAACTTTAAAAAGACTGAAAAGTGAGCTAAAAAATTCACATCTGGTTTCCTTCATTCTTCCAGAGCCATTCAATAGTTACCAGGAGGCAGATAGGTAGCCAAAGGCCTGATGCAAAGTTCACAATGCCCCTTGTTGCTTGTTGTCTGGCTCGTAGAAACCAGTGGAGTCAAGGACCAGAATGGGATGGGCCTGAAGATTGCTGGGGGTGGTTTGAAGCAAGCAGGGCCTGTTCTGTCCTATCGAGGTCTCAGCAGGTCTCAGCAGGACTTGCTCTGTCTCATCCAGCTTGCTTTTCAGAGTACTGAGCATCTTTCTTCCCATAGCTACCTTGGTCCTTGGGAGACGTTGCATGATGTTTCATTGCTTGGAGATGTTTCATAATGTTTCATTGTTGGGCGAAGTTTCATGGTGTTTCATCACTGGGAGATACTGCATGGTATTGCATTGTTGCCCCCCCAGGCAGATGTGCTGGAATGTGGGATAACATGAGCTGCTGGCCTTCCTCTGCTGTGGGACAGACTGTCAATGCTCACTGCCCTGAATTCTTCCAGATGCTGACTGGGAAGAAAGGTAACACTAAAAAAATGCTTTTCTTGCCCAGGTAATTTTTATTAAATGTGTTATTTACAAACATGCCACCATTGGGTCTGAACTTGAAGTGAAATTGTGTCCCTGCTTCTTTTAAAGACCTATGGTCAATTAGGAGCTCCGTTTCCAATGCTCAGCTAAATGTGGGAAAGCCTGGAATTGAAGTAGCAAGATATTTTAAGTGTTTATTTTTCTTAGCTGGGTGGAGAAAAGTGCAGGAAGTAAATGCTATCCTGAAAAGCTGGTTTTTAGCATGGTTTCCTAAAGGAAAGAGTTTTCTCTGCTCAGGCTCTGTGTTTATGTATTTCTGTCTCTCTTTCCCCTTCTAATAACTCCTAGAGCCAGTGGCTGATCTCAGCTGAGCTTGACAGGGACAAAACTTCACAAAGCATTAAGTTCATACAAGTTTTGGCAAAACAGCCAGCCAGGTAGGGGGAAAAGATCCCTTTTTTGCCTCTGTCAAGAGTAAATCTGCACTAGGAGTTCATCTCTTGGCTGTGACAAGCTCCACACAAGTAGCACAAATTCATGGGAACTCAAATTTCATGGCTCACCAAACGTCTTACTCAAAGAGATGAGTTCAAGCAATGTTTGTTGTTCTTTTTCTGGGATTTCTAAGCTAGAAATGAAGTAAAATTTATTCCCAGTAATCATGAGCCCTTAAGTAGGAGTTTCTGCCTGCTTTCTCTTCATTTCTACTTTTCAGCAATGCCCAAGAAATGTGCTTACATTTCTCTTTAGTGAGTTAATGATTCAAATTGAAAGAGGGTTTTGCATTCTTCAGTTATAGGACAGGGATTAATGAGATCCAGTACTTACAGAAAAGCAGACACATTCATGTTATGGAGGGAGGAACGGGAAACAAAGTATTAGATTGTCTAATAAAGATTAGATAAGTCAGAGGAGAAGCACTTAGTGCTCTTTAAATAAAATCAGACATTAGCCATTCAGATTAAAATAAATACCATGCTACTTTCTGTATGCACAAACAGTAGCTGCCCATTGAATCCTATAATCTGGTTTAAAGACAGAGGATAAACTACACAAAGACACAGATCGCTGAAGAAATCATTCATCCGGCATGTGCTCACAAATCTTTAGCATAGCGATACCGGCCCTTAAATCTATTAAATGAAATCACTGCAGATAGAGCCACTAGAGGGAACTGCTCCCTGCCTCTGGCCTTCGTACTGGGGAGGAAAACAGGAATTTGTACATCCAAAGGTCATAATTACATCTCAAATGTGCACTGCTTTATCTTGGAAATAGCCTAACAACTTTAAACTTTAGTTGCCCTCCTTATCGAGAAGCTGAGAGCTGAGCCACTTCTGATAAGCAATAATCAGTGACAGTGTTCAAAACAGAAATCCAAGACATGGTCCATTGGCATTTGCATCTCATTTCGGTCTCTGCATCTGGCGTTTTGGGTCAAAGTCAGCAATAGTTTGTTCTCATTCTCATAGCCACATGCTTCTCTGATTTTATACTGTGGTTGGCTTGTGACTCATGCGTTTAATTACTGCTACAGTCGTTGCCCTGTTTGAAGCAATTTTGCAAAAGAAAAACAAAGATCTGTTTGCTTGAAAAAAAGCAGAATTTTTCTCTCCTCACTGCTTACAAAGCAGATGGGCAACCACAAACGCCAAAGGCCCATAGGTTAAGGGACGCAGATAGCTCTAAGCTCTGACTAAACCCTGGTCTCTGTGCTGTTGAGCTTTGTGCTCACATCTAGACTTGCACTTGCAGCCCAGACTGTCTGGCCCCTTCCCACATAACAGACCAAAGAAACAAAATAATCTGGAACCAAGTAACATAACTGAAGTTCACATCCAGACCTGCACATTGTGTCTCAGCCAAGAAACAAGGAAAGGTGTGACGACTGTGGGAATTCAGAGGCAGAGGAGAAGGTCACATCAGACAACCCCAGTTCCATCCCTTAAGCCAGTGTTCCCCCATGCTTAGGCAACTCCAAAAGCCTCCAAAGCACCAGTAAACAGCAAGCAGCGATCATCAGACAGACTGCAAACCCCGGGACTGCTCCGGGTGGGGCATGCTGCAGTTTCCCCAGTGTGCGTGTCACCCATAAGCAAGTAGCATTGTTAAAATTTTGCTCACTTCTGTCAATATAATAGGCCCTGCATAATCTCCCATGCTTTGCATAGAACGCAATCGCATGCACACACCAACACAGAATTTCATCTCTTCTTGTCTGACCTACTTTGTCATCCTCAGGCAAAAAGCAGTTACAGGCATGTTTACAAGCACAACACTCTGCTCTGAGTGAAGTACGTGTGTCTTAATAATGGAAGCTGAAGTAGAGAATTTGCCACCATACCATTCCCTTGCTGAGTGCCAAGGCCGGTTGGGGAGAACTGTTTGGGAGAGCTGTTTCTCTCCTGTTGTTGCTGCACTGCAGCAGGGCACAGCAAACCTGACTTAAAAAGCAAGCCTGGCTCTTTCAAAGATGCTAAGCTGGAACAAGATGTTCATAAAAACATCAGAATAATAGTCTGATACTGCCACACCCAGTGCTCTTCCCACTAGGAGGTCTCAGCGTGTTTGCTGTGCCTTGCAGTTTTACAGAGGTGAGTTCAAATCAAGTGCAGACACGCTGTCAGGTTACCAGAATTAGCCCAGAGGTAGCAGGAGCCCTGACTCTGTCCTGGCAGTCCCAGCAGAGCTCCTAAGAGCATAAACCAGTACCAAACACTGCTGCAGATGCATCTCCCTCCGTTCCCTCAACACTGTGGGGGATGTTTTGCAGGAACTGGGTGCCCCAGAGCCCCATGGCTAATTGTGTGGGCAAGTATAGACTTTTGTGGTGCCTTCTGGCAAGGCTTCTATTAAGAAGGGCTGCTGATTTCAGGTCCTCTCTAAGTCCTTCCTAGTATTGCTGTTACTGCAGAAAAGCCAGGATTTCACTCCATGTTTCTCAAGTGTGGGTCCTACCTGACAGGTTAATGTGGTTAGGACAGTGGGCAGTGGTTTTACTTCTTGGTGAAAGTTTCTCTTCTCCTCAGCACATAACCTACGTGCCTGCTAGGGTCATTTTCTTCCAATGAGATTGTAAGGGCTGTAGGGTAGGAATTCCCACTTCCAGTTTAGTGACAAACATGAATATGGACATGTTCAAACCTGTCCTATTCAACTACATGCAACTTGCTGGGGATCCATCCAACTCAGCTTTGAGAGTCTAAAAGTCAGACATCCCAGCAGAAGTGGGTCAGACAAACTTTCCCTCTGCGGAAGTCTGTCTGAAAATGAGATGAATTCTGCAAATGCCTCTCTTTCTCCACTGACTAGAAAGACAGCCATGAGGGACACAGCTGAACTCAAGCATTTAGCTTTCAGAAGTGTAGCTTAAGTGAGGGGAATCCCATCCTAACCTTTAATTTGCAAGTAAGCAAGGAAATCAACAGTGTAAGATAATGCCCAGACCTGGCTGTGGGAACAAGCCATTCAGTTTTCATTTAAATCTCACCAAAAATCTGTCACTATCTAAAGTTTTGTGCTCTCTTCAGACAAACCACAGTAAGGAGGTGGGAGCATTCAGGAAAGTATCAGGTTTGCAAGGAGTATGAATCTGTGATTGAACAAGTCATGTGTTTGCTGATCTTGGAACGCTGGCCAAGAAACACCAGATGTACCGAACAGTATTATTTATGTTGCTGTTAATAAAAACACATCAATCACAGCCATCCCTGAGTGGGCAAACAATATTATGACCCACACAAGTACACTGGGCAAGTATCAACATAATTAGCTCAGCTGCATTTCACCTCCAGCTATGTAGAGCGCACTGCCTGGGGGAAAATCTTCTCTTTGGTCTTGCAGCGACCCTACATGTTGGTGACTGACACCCGAGGAGAACAAAGATCACACCTGGTTTTGTCTTTTTTTTTGTTCTTACCACACAGGTTTTGTCTATCGAAACTGTACGAGAGAGGGTTGGTCAGACCCATATCCAAGACCCGATATCGCTTGTGGCTACAATGTCAATGACACGACAAATGAGGCGAGAGTGAGTCTGAGTGCCTGTGACCACAGATCTGCTGCTTTGGGGGAGGAACATGTTAAGGAGAGACTGAGTGATGTTATTTTTTGACTCAGTTGGGGTTATTATTGCAGATGTTTTTCAGTATAAATACTTCCTCCAAATGATCAGAATGGGTTGCTCAAGGTAAAACTTCAGTAGCTCATTTTACAAGAAAATTTATTTGTTAAATAGGAGAAGACACCTTTCTCTTGGTGAGGGCTGATTTCTGCCAGAAAGGCAAAGGTAAAGATGTGAATATATGTTCCCCTGCAGCGTTCCTATTTCATGACTCTGAAGACCATGTACACCATCGGGTACTGCACCTCGCTTGTGACGCTGACGATAGCCTTAGTGGTCCTGCTCTCTTTTAGGTGAGAAGCAGCATTTCTAGTTTGCGTTTGGCCAGGGCTTCTGGTCATCTCAGCTGACACAGATCCTTCTGTTGGCTTTCAGGACAAGTGAAAAATTGAAGTATTTCTGAAAACCTTCATAGAAATCAGTGACAAAAATGATCTCTGAGTCTCATCCCCCAGAAAATGTCAGAGCTGCTCCTCATATCATATTCTCCTGTCTTTTCCAAAATGTAGCTGCACATATTTTGCAGGCTGGTGTTCGCACCACTTCCCTGCTGAGGTTTTCCCATGACTTCAGTGTCCCTCGGGCACAGTGGCTTTCCCCCTGCTGTTCTTTTCCCCACTTGAGACGGTGGCTAAAACTTTGCTCCAAATGCCACTGCACTGACTTCTGGGAAGGTGTTTCAGGTTTACAGCAGTGACCTGACAGACGACTTATCTTGACTTATCTTCACGCATCCTTATAACCTGGAATTTGTACTTTGCTGCTTATTCAGTGAAATGAATTTCCCTTACAGTAAGCATCAGGGCGGCACCTCCAAGCAGAAAGAACCCCAACTGCTTTGCAAACTTGTCTTTGGGCTGCACAGCCTCTGGACTCAGATTATGTGGAGATTTAATACAGAAAACATTGCAGACAGAAGTGAACTCTGCAGGCAAACCAAATAAATCCACCCAGGTGTGGATAAACACCTTGGGTTCATGTTACTCCAGAAAGGAGGGAGGGAAGTTAGACCAGGCATATTGGTGTGAAATAGCAATTCTTCTCGCAATGTTCAGCTTGTTTTAGTACCTGAGTAGAGCAGAGGTGACTTTAGCTTTTTAAGGTATTCTCTAGGATATCCCTCTTGGGAAATGCATTAGTCTTCCCTTCACAGACAGAAAAACAGCGTTCTTCGTTTGTCAGTTTAGCATTAACAAGTATTGAAGCCTGCTGTTTACAGCCACAAGCTACCCACATTGGTGAGGAATGTAACTTCACAGGATCTCTCTCTCTTTTTGTAACAGAAGACTTCGCTGTACAAGGAACTACATCCACATGCATCTCTTCACATCGTTCATTTTGCGAGCCTCATCCAACTTCATCAAGGATGCTGTTTTGTTTTCCTCTGAAGACACAAATTACTGTGGGGCACACACGGTAACCCTCTGCCTTCCAGCTTGCTCCGCGCCTCAGTTTCCCAGCAGGATCCCAGCAGTAGTTAGTGTGCAGGGAAGGAAATCTCTATACCTCAGCTTTCCATTCAGCATGAGGGGTTATGGGAGAGGAAAGGTTTGCCCTGTCCCTACTCCATGGCTCCATCCTTTGCGTTGGTTGTTCCTGGCCAAGATTTCCCCGTTTGGGGGGATTCTGCATTGGTGGTGCTGGCATGAAGACACAAAAGCAGAAGCATACACACAGAAACTCAGGTGTGGTTCCTCCTGTCTGTAGATGTCATTACAAGTATTGGAGCAGAGGGCATCCAGGTCAGTCTGAAGTAGGTACCTGCGTTCACCATCTTGATTGCATTGACTAGATGGCTAGAGAAGACACCAGGAGTTCAGCACATTAACCCAGAAATGCCTAAACATAGATGTCTCAGGCTGTGAACACAGGATACACAACCAGGGTGGAGATTCTTACATGGATTTTAGATCCTGCTAGATCAGACTGGCAGGAAAAGTACGAGCACACATTAAATATTGCTGATATACTACAGTGAAAGACCTGATAGTAAGATATGGGTTTGCAACCAGAGGGCCTGGAAAAGGAACCCCTCCCAAATTTTTATTTTTTTTTCCCTTTTTCTTGTTATTGTCAGCAAAATATCTTGAAAACTAGGGGCAGGGGGAGAGCACTGGAGATAATATTCAATGCTTTAAACCAAAAGATAAGTATTAGGGAGGGAAACAAACAAAAACAAACAAAAAGTTGGTGTTTTTTTTTTTTGCTTTACCCCCTTTGTTTTGCTGGATTTTTGTTGCTGAATTAGAACATTTTGAGCAAATTTTAACTTGTCTTTATCAACCCTTTTTCTTAAGAAAAAAAGACTGAAAAATACATTCACATGCTTCTCTAAGGTGACATTAGTGTTACTGACAGTAATAAGGTAGTAATAGTGAAACTCCTCTAAGTGAGATGGTAACCCAAACCCATGTGTCCATGACACAGTTGGTTCTTCCTAGCGAGTCAGTTGATTAACTCCTTTACGAGTGCTAGCTCTGCTTTCTTGTCACATGAATGCATGTCTCAAGGCCACCCGTTTAGTCCCCTAGTAGCTATAAAATCTCTGTTTCCCAAGACTTATTTATAGCTCTCTGTCTGTCAGAAGGTAGACACAAACCCAGGCAGAAGCTAATTATCCTCTCTTTCCTCAGACTGGCTGTAAGCTCACCATGGTCTTCTTTCAGTATTGCATCATGTCCAACTACAGCTGGCTCCTCGTGGAAGGACTGTACCTCCACACTCTCCTGGCTATTTCTTTCTTCCTGGAAACGAAGTTCCTCTGGTGGTTCATCGCCCTCGGATGGGGTACTGGTTCTCCTTTCAGTAAGAATAACCATGGGTTTGTTTTCCCTTTGGGATGGATTTGTGGAACAGTAACTAGCTTTTCCAATTGCAGGTGCCCCAACCGTGTTTGTGGCCGCATGGGCGACTGCTAGGCAACTCCATGAAAATATTGGGTAAGTTGCGTGGAGGGGGGGAAGGTGGCATGTCGAGGGGAGCATGCAGCCCCCCTGCAGGCTGCTCCACTGGGTCCTGCTCATTTCTAACCGCCGGCAGCCAAGCAAACCAACCACCACCCTGCTGTGGTGCAAGCCTGGATGCTAGCGTAGGAGGGAGTAGAGGGCCAGCTGAGGAACCTCAGAAAGAGCCTCAAATTTCATCTGAGCATTTTCAAGGGTAGGAGGTAGCCTTCGAGTATGAATTCAGCCCACAATGTTTTCAGCATCTGTATTTGACTTTCTGAGCAGTGGAACTCTGTTCCTTTCTCTTCTCCTTTCCAAAATTTTGAACAGTGGTTGTACTTTAAGGGCAGGAAATACTTTTGTCCGGTGCAGGCAGACACTTTTCTGTCAGAAATGTTGTACCACTAAGTGAGAACAGGACATTAATTTTGTAGAAGAAGGGAATAGGGACCTATCTGAAACGCAAACCAGACTAAACCTCTTTGAAAAGGCACCAGTGTTTTGATAACTGACTGCACCTTCTCTTCTATTTTTACAGGTGTTGGGACATTAACACTAATGCCAATACCTGGTGGATCATTAGAGGCCCTGTAGTTTTGTCTATTTTTGTAAGTCTTTTCTGGGACAAGCAGATTCAGACCGTATTTTCAAATATTGTAAAGTCAGAGATCATCTACTCAACATGCTTTAGAAGTGTGTTAATGAACTGATCTTAGACATGTGCCTGAACTAGTATGACACATGAATTACTGCTTAAGCAACTTCTGCTCAGCAGGATTTAGTCACTAACTAATGCCCTGAAGCTAAGTTCACAAGGAAAGCTGGAGTGTCCTCCCAAGAAGTAAGAGCCTGAAAAAGATCAGGTTTCCACATCCTGTTGATTTCATATGAACTTGGCTGGCTTGTGGAAGCTTGTTTTGGACTGTTTCAAGGAAGGCTCTGGAGGAGAAACGAAGTGGCTGTACATTTCAGTACAACCGCCTTTGTGTCTCGTGGTCAATGCCCCTCTCAGCAAAGCCAAAAACAACTTGCCTTACATGACCATTAGCTTTTGTTTTTAGCAACCAAAGCAGGTCACAGGCTGCACGCATCTTATGTTAGTGGACTGCAATTACACTATTATGGCATTGCCCACTGAAATAAGGCATAGGCATTGAAACTTAGCGTGAACCTCCCCCATGCAAGGCAGAAGCAATATCAAGAACAGTTTGGTACGTATAATACTCAGCACCTATGATCTGAGCATTTGCTGGTGCTCACCTTCAGAGCCTTAGGTACCAAAGGGCTGGAGCTGCTTCTTGGGGATAGTTGTTCTGCCCAATTGAGATGCTCAGGGGCAGACCCCTCTGCAGCGATCTATCTGAAGCCCTAGTACAGAAACACACGAACTGCTAGTTACTCTGAAGTAACCCGCTGACACTCCAAGTGAGAACCCAAGAGTTGGTTGAGGTTTTCATGTTACCTGTAGGAGCCATTATGTTTGCAAAACACAAACTGCAATGCGTGTACGCTCTCTTGGAAACCCAAGCAACAGAGATGCTGGGTTGAAGTTCTGTTCCCATTTACCACTGAGCAATCCTTCACCCCCACAAGACAAGCTGAAGACCACACAAGTGATTCAGGATCAACTTAACGAGGCTACAGCATTTTTAACCCTTACGCTCCAGGAGCCACTCAGCAGTATTTAAATGCCAACAAGGCACAAGCATTCTGCAAGGCAAAAAGCACAATCTTAATTTATCTTTTGACTGCCACCACCCGCTATCCCCTTCTAAGTTTCCCCCAAATCCTGATCACATCTAGCTTAGCCACTTAAGGCAGGAGTCGCCTGCATGACTCTGCCTCTTTACCTAAAAGAGGCTTTTCTCAAGCCCGTAGCCACAGACAAACAAACAGCCAGTCCTTCAGAATTCAAATCTAATCTCTTTATTCCTCACAGGAACAGTCCTTAGCAGTTCAAAGGGCAGAAAATCAACACCGATAAACTCCTTTGCTCCTAGGCTAACATTCCTTGCTGTGCTGCCGGCAGGCCATCCCTCCCCGCAGGAAA